GGGGGGGGTGATCTAGACGGTTTACGATCTGTAATGAGAGAGATATTTTGTACCCCTTAAGGGGGTAGGGTGGGCTGCATCCAGTCGAGATGAATCTGACACGGTGGCCCCTGTAATTTGGATGTTTGACCGCATATTGTTTCTGTCTTGTCTGCTCAACGGACGTGGGGCGTATGTACTGAATTAGATGATTCACGTTTCGAATACAAAGAAGGCACTTACAGTCTGTCTGGAGGAAGAGATTATATATCGGACCAGCATTATTTTATACCTGTATTGTTTCTTTACTCATGGAGATGGTGGTTACATTACGTGATTTGGAGTTCTATGATACTGAGACCCAGGTAAGAGGTAATTATAGTTTGTGTCGGTATTTATCGAAGCGCGTAACAGAAGCCAGTCTTTTACTTGGGCTACAATGCTTCTGGTGACAGTGTGAATAAACACCTACTGGTTGCGTTAGTTATCCTACGGATTATTCGGAAAATAATTACCAAATCTGCAGTGTTTATTTTCCCTGATTAAAACATATTTTAAAGTTCTTTACATTTCGGAAACATAATTTAAAGTTTCCTGAGAAGCTTGTCGTAGTAATTCTTCAGGAGGGTGGTAATCATACCTGTATGGTTCTGAGAGACAAAACTGAAAAACGAAAGTGCCCAATGTGTGACGAGGAAGAAGATTAACACGTGGAATGAAATTTATATTAATAAGGAATGGGATATGATAAGATTGCAAATATGAGAAACAAATAATCACTGAAGAAGATGAGAAATTTTTGTTTAAAATATGTGAGAAAATAAAGAGAGCGAAAGATAAAGTTTTAGATGCAGAGAGAAAAGAAATTAAAGGAGGAATGGTTGAAAGTTTTAATTGCTTTTCATGTGTTTATTTTGTTAAATTGTTTATTAAGTAGTTAATATATAGAAGATGTGGTCACTTTTTAGCGTATGTTAATGTACATAACAAGCAAGTAAATAGAAATAAACTCACATTTATGCTTATTTTCAAGGTACTTAGTGACTGTTTTTACATTAAGTTGCATGTCCCTGTAATATATTTAACTTTTTCCAATCATAGTTGTAATGTGATTATTGTGTTTGAACAAAGTAAGATAGTCGCTGCTATTAAGTGATTAGTTCTGATTTCTGAAACCGAACGCCAAATTCTACTGCACAGCAGTAGGACGTGCTTAATGATAGAGGGCTCAAGGTAAAGTTTGTTACTGGACGACAGCTGGAGCGTATTTTGCTTTACCTATCTCTAGAGCAGGTTATTTTATGACGCTGCCTAGAGCGCAGATGTTATTTACCGTTAAATTGGGTGGGAGGATGAATATGTGTGGTGAATTGGAAAGGCTGAGAAGGAAGTGACAGTGACCTATTTCAAGTCAAAACCCGTCATTTTTCTTGATGAACCGAAGAAAACGAAAACGTCTAAGCTGAATAGCTGCTGCTCTGAGTACGATTCGAATCGGATACTTCCATTAACAAGTCACCCGTGAAGCGTAACCGCTGTTTCAACATGGTAAGTGCAAGGAGATTTCCGTCGTATTAAATTGTTTCAAAGTCACCGGTAGCCTTTTGTTACCCGTTTTATAATTTAAAATAGTCCTATCTGCGGAAAATTTATAATTTTTATTTTTTTTTGTACTTTGTTATTTGACGTGGTAATATAAACTTCTTAACGTATCGTTACTACAATTAATGCGCCATCACTATCGATTTTCAAATTAGTTTTAGAATATTCCATTGAGAAGGTCCAAGACAATTAAAAGCGATTGGAATTTAACAGAATAGAATACATCAGAGTCTCTCTTTGCTGATGCTGTTACGTTATTGGACTAAAACATTAATACCACAAAGAAAAGCACAAAAATCTAGGCCTATAAATGTAGCTAGAAAAAAAATATGCCTGTTATAGGCCTCTGTTTTTGTCTCGTTACTACAGTGCTGAAGAAAATAATGTTATTAGGATGGCTGGTACAAATTAAAAAACTAAATAATTCATCTTCAAAACAATTGAGGTATCACATATGATAGATCGTTAAGGGATTTAACGACGTGATATTATTTGTAAACATTATATTACACTAATGTTTTTCGTAATTTTATCTGCTATTCACACAACAGGATGCGACATCAAAGACAAACATCGTTGTTAAATCCTTCGAAAATGTAGCAGAATTGCACAAGTTGATTGTTAACAGAAATAAATAAAATTACGTGCGCGAATGACTTAAAAGCAGATTAAATTCGGGAAATGCTTTCCGCCATACATTTCACATTCTTTCACTGTTTCGTATCTAAATATGCAAGAGTACAATGTTATCTACATTTTCGTGTATTGTTGAGAAATTTTATATTTTATTCTCTAAACAACGTAGATTGAAGATGTTTGGGAACACAGTGTAGAGGAAATTATGTTGAACTAGGAGACAGAGAAACACATGAATAGATAAAATTACACAACGAGAAGCCTTATAGTTTGCAGGCTTTTCACCAAGTCTTATTAGAATCCTGAAATCAAGGACGGTAAGACAAATGAGGCATGCGACTCGTTAATCGGGTAGACACACTCGAACTGCATTTTATGTAAGAATTTGGGAATATTTATTAAGTTCCGGCCTATTTAATTACATTTTGTACCCTGACCGAGGAATTGTTATGTATCCCATTGTTGGGGTGGAAAGCTTCATAAAATAGACAAGAATTAAACGAGTGATCGACCACAAACTGTCCAACTATTGGACACGGAAACTGATGAAATGTCGCTGTCTTTCAGGAACTAATTTTCTATGGTTTAGGTATGATTTCATTACGCTCATTGAGGTGAACAGAAAAGCTGTATTGCCTTGAAACTCTAATTTAACGTAGCTACACGTGTAAGATGTATTTTATTGGTGACTCCTCAGCGACAGTTTCTAATACAAAGACCTATACTGAAAGATTATTTAGGCCGATACATGTATGATGTCTTGTTTTTAATTAAAACTTTACTGAAAATTAATTTTACGAGACTTCGGTTGTGCAATGATATCATGTTCTAAGAACAAGTAGTTTTAAAATGAACTGTGTGTCCGTGACGTTAATTTCCGTCTAATGTGCTTTGTCATGATTGTTTGAAGTTAACTGTGTTTACATATGTGTTTTATACACACAGCGAGTCTCAATATAACTTGGTAGAAACATCTGCGTATGAAAATGTTATTGATTGAGAAATGATGTATGTTATAAAGGATTAGTCTCATCCCTGTCTTGTACATTCGCAATCATTTATCTTGTACACCTTGCCTGGGGCAAACAGAATCAAATTTTAATCTGATGTGGTATGGATGACATAAACATGTTATAAGCCCACTATGAACATACATTGCCCTTGAATAATACATAACCAAGCTATTTGACTACTAGCAGATTAGTGTAAATATGTATAAATTTATCTGCTTTGATATTTTTTTATATTCCTTGATTACCGTCGACCGGACGTCACAGTTCAGAGGCTAGTAATCCTTTTTCTTCTTTGGAATATCCCGGGTTCAAATTCCGGCCCAAAGACCAGCCATATAAATTGAGGTTTTTCATGATTTTCCTTGGTCTCTGCAAACAGCTGCTCTGTATGGCACCTTAATAGACCAGAGCCGCTTCCTTACATATCCTTTCCACTTCATTATTCACTGATCGTCCTATGATTCGCCGCTGTAAAGTATGAGCAGATGACAGCATAGTTAAATGGGCCATAAATAAGTAGATAAATGAATTTGCGTCTGTCAAAATCACAGCCAGTTTGAACGTTAAGACTGCATTTGGACTTACCAATGAAGGAGGATATTCTCAAGTTATTATACCTAGGAATAGGGATGTCTGGCTGTAGATGACACAGTTTTGAGTTTTGGCTTTTTGCAGCTGGTACATAAATGAGAACATCATTGGCATGTACCATTCTTAGACTGCATTATAGTTACAAAGAAAACATACTTTGAATGACGTATCCAAGCAATATACTTTAAGTTTGCAGAAAGGTTTACAACAAAATTTATATTAAAACCGAAGTTCAGTTAAAAAACACATTTTCCACAGAACAGACTTGGTCGCAGGATTGTTTTATAACCTAACACTTACATTTTATATGATTTACGTACTTCATGGAACAAGACTTGCTGAGAAGCTAATTGCCGCTCAGTTGGTCAAGAAATTCCCCACCTTCTTTGCAACCCAGTGTTCATTACCGTGTTTATAAAATCCCACCGCTGTATCCTATCGTGGGCTTAATGAATCTGGTCTGTTACCGTGTTCTTCTAATGTAGGGCACATTTTACTGGTGCCCTTCCATCTACGTTTAGAGCTACGAAATGATCTCTTCCACTTATATTGCTTCATTACAAATTTGAACGCATTTTCCATTTGACCCATACATGCTACGTGTACTACTTATCGTATCCTCTTTGATTTGGTGACCCTAATAATATTTAATGTATAGTTAAAATGAAGAAGCTTGCATGAAATCAGAACGGTGTTGTAACATTTTTGTTTAATAATGGAGTTGACTTAACCCAACATTTTCATAATTTGGGGATGATTCTTTCCAACCTGTACTATGGTCAAAAGTGTTACTAAGATTGATTTATTCAAATTATTCCCTGACACGCAGCCAGGTCAATAGCTCTTTTGATTCGTTTGCAAGGAGTTGCAGACTTGAATCTCGGCAAAGAGACCAGCTATCCTGACTGTACTGTTTCGTTGTTTTCTCCCCCCCCCCCCCCTTCTGTAAAATCATGGTATAGTAAAACAGTAAGTATGTATCGAATACGAAAGAAGCTGGAAGACAGTTTGACCTAATATAAGTATTTTCTGTAATTGTGTGGTCTGATAAGCACATCACGCTTGCTTTAGGGAACCATTTTCTATGTAGCACTTAAAATTTCTCGTTTCGGTACCCAGTAATAAAGAGAGTTGTATGCTATAGCACCCGATGAAGGAATGTAAAGTTTTATGTTAAATTTATCGGATATTCAATTGCTAATTACCTTTTACTTGCTTATATCTTGACTATCTGTTCATGAGACGTTGTTTGACAACATGTTACCAAAGCGTATAAATTATGTGCATTTTCAACTTTGTGGAAGTTAACATTATTGGCTGTGGCAGAATCCTGGAACCAGAAATTAAGGCTTGACACGTTTACGAAAATTTGTTGAATTCTATAGTCAGGAGCTCAGCAAGGAAATAATTTAAATGGTAAGTTGGACAAATCAATTAGTACCTTGTATATGTTCGTAGGTAATTTTATAAAACTGTATTAAGGGCAGTTTTTGTGTGATATTGAGTCAGGTTTAAAAGCGATCTTGGATTATAACTTTAATGATAATAATCGTGCCTGATAATATCTGTAACATTACCATATTTAGCGTGCATAGCTACACTGGCCATCTGTTACTGTCGTCAAACTGAGAAGTGATGTTTGATTTCTGGTTGGTGTCATGTTACTTTTTGTATTGCTAAAAAATTACCATAATAAAATTGTATATTATTCAAAGGTCTGTCACCATATAACATTTCAGAGTCTTATACTGAATGACGTTAATGTTGCTTCTATTTTAGAAATTCACACGGCCGACATGGTCTTGCAGATGATAGATAGGTGCATAAGAAATATGAAACTGATGTACAAACGGCATTTCGATTAATTGGCCCTGAAATTTGTAGGTTATATATATATATATACATATACACACGGACATAAACAAGCCTCGAAAGGTGTCCTCGCAAATATAAAAGATATTCTTTGCGCCACTTAACGTTACCTGGAAGTTAACAAATCAAAGCAAGTGGCTTACGTCATCATGCATGCACACGCGAATATATATCATGTCTTCAGGATTATCTCACCTCCTTACTTTGCGTATCCGTCACGCTGGTAACACTCATTAAATTATACGGTTTTCGTCTGGCCTCAAATTGTAAAACGTCCAAAATAAATTTCATCAAAATCCGTCCAGCCATTTTCAAGTACATGAACACAAATGAACATCACCTGAGATGACGTCATCAACATGTTAAGTAATGCTAAGCTTTGAATAGGCTTCTTTTTAGAACCACATTTCTTCATCTTCTGGTATCGATGTCTCATAAAGTACACAAGCTACAGCCTTGAAATTTTCACCACTGCTTAATGGAAATGTGATAATAAATCACATACAGATTTTGACAGTAGTTACCACAAGAGTCTGCCTAAGGATAAATGCTTTTTATCAAATGTTTAAAAATTAAACAGAATGCTTAAAAAAACAGTAAAATATACTATGCAAATTACATTTGCTGTATTAATATAGTATGTGTGACAGAATATTCAAATATTTATCTCTCCCAGTTTCTTCAGAGTGTGTTCCTAAAAGGAGCTAAATTTAACATTATTAACACAGTGTTATGTGCTGCCTATTGTCTACTGGCAGAATAGTTGTCCTAATTTATGATCGGTAAATCACACTTAGTAAACGATAAAATATGGAAAAGATCCAGCCGGCCATT